CTTTAGAATGACTTAACATTAATCTCCCACGTTGCAGTCCAAAACCACATAATTAAAATAGTACCCTTAAAAGGATATAGCACTTTCAATGTGCGTTGTCTGCAATATTGTGCAGCAAACAGATCACGAAACCAACATAACAAAGTAAATATATAAGTGTTGACAAAGAAAATGTCAAAGCAAGTAGCTCTAAGAGAGTACATAAAAACTTCAGGATTCAATAAAGTCGTCTAGCCTACTAGCCTCGTTAAGCAACAACACTAAGGACTCCTCCACAGAAGCTAACTCCTTCTTCATGGACTCAAGCTGAGCTCTGAGAGTGGAAGCTTGACCTTTAGTCTCCTCAACCTTTCTCTTGATGCCTTCTCCATCACCACATTCCTCAATGCATTTATACACATAATTGAGCCATGAAGCATCAAAACCAACCACTTCTAAGACGCTACAACACTCTTTGATGTAGTTTCGATCATCTTCTATCAAGTGGCCTCTTTGAGTGGTCCTCAAAATGCGAGTTACTTCAGCAAATAAGGAAAAGGAGGATGAAGCAAGCACTCTTCGTCGCTTTGTGTTGAGCCAATCAAGCACTTGAGGATGCCGCTTGACCCCGGCCTCCAGATACGGTATGTTCTGTTCAGGAATGTCAATCATTCCCTTGTAGTTTCTAAAAATGTTTGATTTCTGTGTTGATGAAATCATAGGTTCTGAAGCTTGTGAAGGTGGCGGATCAAAAGCTGAATCAAAAAACAAACATAAAAAAATAGGGTGAGGCAAATTTCGAAGAAATGAAAAAAAAAAAAAAGGCTTTTCTTTCCCTATCAATTCATGTAAAATTGATCTGAGCTTGCAAAATGAAATCAATACCTGCTTCGTGAATCATGGTTGAGTTTGGTGCATTTTGAGCAGCTGGAATCGAAGGCTTTTGGATGGCGTCACACATCTTTCGAGTCTCAATATAGGAATCACGTGATTCTTCTAGTAGATTTTTATGATCATCATAATAGACTTATTAGTTCATCCGAAAAATACTACAAAGAAAAAAGATACTGAACAGGATAAGAACCTGTGCTTTGGGCTGTTGCAAGTTTCTCTGAATGTTGGTCAGTTTGAATGAAGGGTTTGTCCATGGGGTCATGGATCTCTTGAGTTCCAATAGCTAAAAAAGCAATTAAAAAATTATGAGACAAGAGTTTCTTCAAAATAAAAATAAATTACTTCATCCTCAAGAGAAATTAATCCACTACTTTCTTTCTTGTCACTGGTTCCAAAGGTTTTGGGCTGGTTGAATGAATTCTCTTTGGGACAAGTTTTTGACTTATATAATCCTTCTAGCAAAATTTGATTAACATGATAGAAAGTTAAAATCATAGATTAATCAAGCAAGAGCATTAGATCAAAGATCCATCAAAACGAGATTAGAACCTATGGAGTTTTGAATTAAGGGTTTTTCGGTAGTCTCGTTCACCTCTGGAGTCAAAAAGCCAAACAAATAAGTTTAGAAAATACTTAGTAAACAAAACAACGCAAGGTATTGTAAAATAAAAAAAAAGAATGCTTCTAAAATTTAAAAGACGAGAGGTCATTTGAGGCCCTTTTCTCCGGTATATTTGAGTTGGCACAATATAAGGTTGTGGTAGTGAATTAAGCAAAAGAATACTGAATTAAAAAATATGCAAGGACATACATGAGGCCTGGGTGAAAGAACTTATAAGATGCCAAATTTCCAAGTCACATGATTCTTTCAAAAGATTTCTCACACGATAAGAAGTTAGAAACATTAATTATGCAAATGAGTACTATAACAAGGTTAACCCATGGATCCTGAAATGCAGTAGAAATGTGTGCCTTTAATAGTTATAACTTATAACCAATGGTCTTCTGGTGACCTTCCATATATATCTGTTGAGTCTTAATACTAAGTGAATAAATAAAAAAATACTAAAACTATAATACAAATTATTTGACATGAGGTTTTAACAAAATAAAAATAATTTCCTTCCCCTCGAACATGTGAAGAAAGGGTAACTTCCTCTGTTGTAAGTGATAACAATGGTGGTGAAGATCTGATTAAGAAAATTCGCAGAAAATGAGAACTTTTAAGTCAGTGATTCTTCTGTTGTTGATTTTATTTCCCATGATAGTAGGTAAGAATACTTTCTCCAAATAAACAAACTATGCCTATGATCGGTGCAATAAAACTGTGTGGTTGAACTTTCTGTGGAAGAAAGAAGGTCATGGAATGTACCAAAGCAGAGTGATGATATTTCAATTACAGTATCGGTATTGTGGTCCGGATGATCAAACTTTAACGTGGACGAATTTTTAAGTCTTGTAATTCCTCTAATATGTTTCAATTCGCATAAAAGAAATTTAGAAAAAAATTAATAAGCCAAGTGCTATAATGGACACGCATTACCCTATAAGAAGCAATTTAGATAATCTGTCATATCTTAAAATAATATCAGTACCTGCATCACGAACTCCTGTGGGGCTAAGAGCACTTTTAGCAGCTTCAACCAATGGCCTTTCAATGTTCTCACCCATCTCTTCAGTCCCCTTAGTTAAACCTGTTAGTTTTAAAAATGCTGAGAGTAAATAGAATGATATAACATTTTAACAAAATGAAAAATATCTTACATCTAAAAACTGCGAAGAAAAATAAAACCAAAAGAAGAGGAAGAAAGAAAAACATTACTTTCTTTATTGTTGACAGCTGTGGCATGCTCGAATAGATTCTTGCTAGATCAAGTATTTGAGTCTTGTGATTCTTCTATTAGTTTTCAATTCCCATCATAGCATATTAGAATCAATCATTAATTAGAGCTTTGTTTCAAGGAAACTAAACAAAGCTCCTCTCATATTAGTGAGAAACTTAATGTAGAATGGCATGAGGTTGTAGATAAAATAATTAATAAATTCCTTCCTTCTTACACGTGGTCATTTAATTAAACGATTTGGCACTCACAGAAGTTTTCTAGTAGCGTCAATTATTTTTAGATGATTTCGGATTATAAAAATCAGAATGCGAAGTATCAGTCATTAAAAAAAAAAAACCATTAATCAAGCCAATGAATATGATAACAAAGTGTAAAGCACTCTATTGAACAAAAGGTATCAGTCATTAAATATATCAAAGGATAGTGATAGTGATAAATACCTAAGACACTCAAATCTGTAAAAGAAATTAAGGCCAAAGTCAAAGAAACATCTAATTATTTATGGCAAATAGCAGAATGCAAGGCAATCTTAATACCTTTTTCTTGATTTGTAGAAGGGCTGGAGGCAATTTGAGTAACCGGAGCCAAAGGCCTCTCAGCACCTGAAGAGGCTTGCTCATTCAGCTCTTTGTCATAAGATTGACTTGGGAGTTTGTGTGTTTCTTGCTTCCCAATGTCTGCAATTTGATTAGGCTTTGATTGTCCTACTTGCTCCCCAGAGCTTGATGCTCTGGTAGTACTGGCACTCATTTGATGAGTTTGACTACTTTTGGTAATATCACTTGAAGATTCCTTATAGTTGCCTTCATCTTCTTCTCGAGTTGCCTGATTAAGGTACGCACACAAGATATTATATCTTGACGGCAATGCACATTTACATTCAACATTTTTACCCATATTTAAGTTTTCATTTGACTGTGTTTAAGTTTTACATATTTTTCCAGTCAATCATATTTTGTTGCAGCACAATATTGTCTAAATTTAGTTCTTTAGATTTTACAAATAGAGGTTGAGACACATACATGGTATTACAGGAGTGTCAATCATCTCAGAATTTATTTTTTAGCATACATACCTCTGTGAACAAATGGTGGATAGTGGTGTTGAGGTCTTCTTTCCAGCGTCTTTTCCCATTTTCCACTGTCACTGATTTTAGAAATGGGGCAATATTGATTCCAGACGAGAAATTTTGCATTTTGGGGCATCCTGTCACTTTCAATATCACCAAAGAGGGGAATATGAAGGTGTGTTTCTCAGAGCAAAAGCTTTTGAATCTTGATAGACAAGTTAGTTCCAAATACTCCAAGCTTTTAAATATGATTTCTTCTTCTGATCCTCCTTCATTAGTCATCACAACATCCTCTAGCATTCCACAATTGCTAATTGTTAAGCTTCTGAGGTGGATGAGACTTTTAGCTATGAAAGGTGTGATGAAGTACGTCAAGCCATTGCAATCCTCTACTTTCAAGGTGGTTAAATTTGTGAAAGATGCCGAAGGTGGTGCGAATCTTCTTAACCTAGAACATTGCACTACATGCATAGTTTCAAGGTTTTGAACCAAGGGATGCGATGTTGACTCATCATCGTTCCATATATGCTCAAGCTTCTCCAATTGAAATAGCCACAACATTTTAATTTGGGTGGGGCTTCCAATACAAAAATGACAAATTTCTTCTGAATGAAAGAGTGTTTCAAAAGAACTACAACGCACTTGTAGTGTATTTATAGCTGCAAATATTTGGATTAAATCATTCAGAAACTTTATTGGAGTTCCCTGAAAATATTGCAAACGAAGCATTTTGATCCTCTGAAAGAGATTTTTCTCATGTTTGCCATTCAATATCCTCATAGTATCCTTTTCATTTAATGGCAACTCCTCCAAATTTTGAGACACCTGAAAAAGAGAAAATATAATTTGTTTATTTCATCATATAATCTACTAATAAGTTAACATAAAACATATTTTTATACTTTTAAAAACCACATACATAATTATAGTTTTCCTCAGCCATGCATCTTTTTGTCTAGAGAAAAAAAATGTAATTAAAGACAGATAGAAGAAATTTAAAAAAAAAAAAAAGATGCATACCTTTTCAATATGAAACAAAGCTTGTTCAATTTGCGACTCATTGTCACCCTCCCTAAGCGGTTGGGAATTCAAATGGTCAAATGCAAATATTTGCAATTCTTCACATCCACGAACATTTAACCACTTCAACAAAGGACACTCTAGAGTATATCTTTTTGGATAGAAATTAGTGAGCTGTGTCAGATTCAATAGGTTCAAGTTGTTAACCGAGGAAAATCAAACTTGAGTTCCTCTAATCCTTCTTCAATTGAAACAATTTCCTCAACACCACAAGACTCAATGTGAAGCTCTTCAAGTCGCCTCAAATCTTGGCATAGTGAGACCGAAAACAAACATTTCAGGTGTTGGCATTTATCAACTTTCACCATCTGTAAATTTTCAAAGCTGATTATTTCTCCTGCTTCTCTGTTCCATATGCATTTCAAATTTGGAAGCCCCGAGAGTGTTAATTTCTTCAACCGACTAACTTCCTTTGATTCTATTACTTTCTCATCCAATGCATTTACATCAAATACCACTTCTAATGAATCACACTCTGATACTTCCAGTTCCTCTAATGCATATATCAATCGCAGTAAATTTGATGAAAAAATCACGTTGGACAAGAAGGTACATTTTCGCACCACCAGATGCTTCAAATTGCGGAATATATTTGGCCCATCTTGGCCATACCATAGTTCTTTCAGTTCTGGATATGCAGAAAATTCCAAAAGACTGAACCTACTAAATGCCACCTGTGCAAATAATTACAAAGGTAAGGGAAAAGACAAGAAGGGCAGCGAAACAAATTAAACAATGACATTTTGTTACTCTCAGCTAATAAAATTAATACTATTCATTCAAAGTATTAACTAACTATCATGTTAGCAGAAATAAAAGGATAAAAATATCTAACTCAAACCTAAACACAGCCTCATCTTCATTTCGTTAAAGCTTTTATGGCAATGGCACCAATATGTGATTTGGATTACATGAGAAATTTTTATTTTTAATTCATATAAAAGTTAAGATATATCCAAACGGATGCGCTGAGCAAAAGGAGAAGTGAATAATAAAGGCTAATAAAAGCTATAAAATCATGAAAATAAATATTTACAATAAAAATTAAAGATATTTTCACAATCATTTTTCGTTTTACATATAAACAATTGGCTTTTCTGACAATTTGTTCATACCATTTTCTCATCGTATATCAGGGGAATAAAGAATGGTTTTCCAGTGAAATCAAAACATACCTTGTCCGTAAACATCTTTTTTATTGTCTTATTCAGATCACCTTCCCAATACACGTTTCCATCTTCTTCTTTTGATGATATATTTCGAAGCTTTGGTGTGCTTGTGTCTCTCCCAGCTGAGAAGGTGTTCATTCTTGGGCATTGCTCAATGACCACTTCTTTTAACAACGGAAATTTTAAGAAGTAATTGGAGAAGCAAAACCTTTTGATCATTGGCAGACACTCAAGCTCCAAAATTTGTAAGCAGCTGAATGCAATTTCATCTTCAGACCCCTCCTTCTCTTCTGCAGCCACAATTTGCTCAAGTGAATTGCAGTTCTTTATTTTCAATGTTGATAATTTGGCCAGACTTCTTGCGGTTGATGAGGTAATCAAGTGAATCAATCCATTGCAATTTTCCACTTCCAAATCTGTCAACTGACTAAAAGTTACGGAGGAAGGCACTAAGTGTTTCAATTTGGAACATTGATCCACATATAAGGTTTCAAGTACCTCAAGAACTGGGTCTATTTGAAATCCTTCTTTACATATATGCTGGAGTTCATGTAAATTACTGAGTTCCAAAAATTTAAGTCGTGCTCCAGTTTTAAATTTTCCTTTGTCATCTATCGACATTTCTTCTTGGAATATCTCCTTGAAAGAACTCCATTCAACAACTAGCTCATCGAGAGTGGTGATGTTTTGGAGAAACCAATACGGAAAAATAACATGGTCATCGCAAAAATTTGCCAAACAAAGAAATTTGAGTTTGCTAAAGTGTTCCCCTGAAAATTGCCCTCGTAATATCATGCTTGCATCCTCACTATTTAGCGCCAATCTCTCCAAGTTGCAAATCACCTATGTACAGCATAGATAGAAATCGTTGATCAACTATTTTGTACACAGCAACATAAAAGAAATAAAATAGTAAGGCAGGAAGCAATTAAGTGATACATAGCAAAAAAATCAAAGATGACTATGTTGTTTTTTTTTTTTGGCAAAATACAAAAATTATTATGAAACGAGGCATGCATTGAGATATATTTATGGTGTCTGAACAATTAAGATTTTTTTTTTCCTATAATTATTGCTTACCTCTTCGAGTGTGAAAAGAGACTGCTGCATTGAGATGTGGAGTTTACTATCAAAAAGTCTTTCTCGCCACTTGTACTTTGAGTCTTGAAGAGCTTCAATTTCACACAATAGCGGACGTCTAATTCCCTCAATAATGGACATAGTACACTGTGATTTCCAGCAAAAAATCCCTCCAGTTCATGTAAAACCCAAAGCACCAATGAGGTCAAGCGATTAAACTCAAATTTAATAGGACTGTCCATGAGGCCTTCTTTGCCTGAAACAATTACTTTCATCCTCCTTGCATTCTTTATGGTAATGCGTTCAAGTCGAGTAGCTTGCATTGCAATAGAGAGTGGAAAAAGGTATTCCATGGTCTCACAGTCTTCAACACACACAAGCTGCAAACTGGGGAAACGTACCTGCCATTTATTGGAATAAGGCAAGTCAAACACAGACATGATATGTCATGAAACATGACCAATTATGATAATTCAGTAATACTAACTTGACCTGCGAATGATGAATCAAGAAGTTAAATCTTTAAATCTTAAAATATGTACAACAACGCGCAGCAAGATTGTTATGATTTATAAATCTCCCTGTTTAGCAAGCTTTAATTATTCTGGCGAAAAAAAAAAGAGGTTCCGATTGTCTAGGAAGTCTTTAAAAATTAGTGGCTAAAGTATATGTTTGGCGTTTTATATTTATACCATGTTTTATTCTTTTTTTTTTTTTTGAGCTGAATAGTGCTATATTTTTATTTCAGAATCAAGTAAAAAGGCTTACAAACACCAAAAGAAACTAACAAGCAGAAAAGGAAAGAATAAAGCAAAGGCAACACATCAACCAAAAAACAAAACCAACACAACCAACCAAAGAAAAATCACACAGCAGGCAACGGCCAAGACACGGAAAAAGCAGCAGCACAACCAATTCCTATTCTTTCTCCCACATCAGCAACCGAAGACAGTTCAGCACCACGGAGTTCTTTCTACAGAAAGGTCAACAAGGAGGATGGTGGCCAACTCAGCCATCCATTTGGTACCATACCTCCCATAGCACAAGCTGCCATGTGATCTGCAGCTTCATTCCCTAATCTGGCCACCAAGGACACACCAATTCCTCAAAGAACCTCTCAACGTGTTTTATTTTAGTCTCTTAAGTTTACAAAGTGCATTTTTAATCCCTCAATCTTAACATCTTTAGTTTCACTTAACGAAAAATGTTGATTCATTAAACTTAGCGATGACTACGTAATTAAACACCAACAAAAATGCCAGGATTTTAACGTTTTTAATATAATATTATTGTATATTGTCAAAAAGTAATATTTTTATATTTAATTAATTAACCAGCCAAAAACCATAAAAATATTATGTTTTTCAACATAAAATATTATATTTTTGCCTCATTTATTTTAATTTTAACTTTAATTTAAAATATTAATTGTTTTCAAAATAAAAATATTAGATTAAAAATATTAAAATGTAGGTATGTTCTGTCAACATTTAATTTTACAGTCTTCACTTAAGTTTGATGGATCAACATTTATTGATGGATCAGCATTTTTCATTAAATTAAATAAAGGGTTAACGTGTAAATTTCCCTACAAGTTTTTACTCAAGATTGTGAGATACCCACAAGTTTTTTTAGGTATAAATTTGCCTTGAAAGTTTCAAATAGTAGAAATATTACCCCTTTTTATTACAACATTAACGTTGACCGTTAAAATAGTGATGTGATCATTAACATTTTTAACTATAGGTAGTAATATTGCTACAATTTTAAACTTTTGAGACAAATTTAAACACAAAAAAACCTCACCAAAAAGAAAACTTCAGAGCAAATTTGTACCTTAATCCTAAAACTAATGGCGTTAAGATTGTTGAACTACAAATGCATTTTATAAACTTAAGAGACCAAAAGAAACCTAATGTAAACATAAAGGAAAAACATATAGTTTAGCCAAATTAAAACAAATTAAAGTTTTTATTTGATATGCGTGTCTTAAATAAAATTTGAACAATATTTTTTACTTTTTTTCCATCTCACATGAATCAAAACAGAATATTTATAAATACAATATGAAAAAAAAAAACAAAAGCATATATACTGCATACAGAAGCATTAAGGCTAGGAAGAACTTAGAAGGCACCAAGGCTACGAAACGCAATGAATTCAGAACTAGAAAAAACGTACGAGTATTATTTCACACAAACACACAAAATCCTTGTGGCTAACACAATATTACCATATTTTTATTGGATCTTCGGAATCTGCCTTTTTCTTAATTGAGTAAATACGGTAAAAATAAATATTAAACCTATGCTACATCTGTTCAAAACATAACGCAAACTATAGTTAAGCAGCAAGTCTCATACATACCTGTTGAATGGAACATGCACGACGCTGATGCTGGATTTGACCTTCTGTTGTTTCTCTAAAACTGACAGTTTCTTGGAAGTTCTGTTTCCATACGTGTTTGAGCTTAGGTAGACTAGAGAGAGTTATTCTCTTCAGCGGAATGGTCTCCTTAACAAAGACTTCCTTTCGATCCATGTTGGTCAGATCAAACACAACTTCCAATGACTCACATTCACTTACTTGAAGTTCCTCTAAGTTGGATAGCGCTTGCACCAAATTTAAAGGCAGCAGCACATCTGATAAAAAATCACATTTCTGCACTACCAGATTCCTCAAATTAACAAACACTCCCTGTTGAACAAGGTTGTACCACGATTCTCTTAACTCTGGATACTGAGATAGCTCTAACTGCTCAAAACTATGGAATGCCACCTGGAAAAATTGAGGTGCAGGGTCAGTAGAAAGAAATAAAGGCATAAATAAAGCAAACTAAACAGAAGGCTTTTTTAAATGTTTGTCCATGAAATTTTGCCATTGTAAGTCAGAAAAAATTTGTAATTATATGTAGAGAATGATCTTCTTCCTCTTGTCTATCAAAAATTTTTTAGTCAAATTCAAAACGTACCATATCCACAAACATCCTGTTTATTGTTCTGTTTATGTCACCTTCCCAATACATCTTTTCATCTTCTTCCTTTGATTGTATTTCTCGAAGACTTGGGGTGCTTGCGCTTTTCATAGAGAAGATGTTCATTCTTGGGCACTGCTTAACAACAACATTCACTAGTGATGGAAGGTTCAACACGGAGTTACTAGAGCAGAACCTCTTGATCATTGGCAGACACCCAAGCTCCAAAATTTGTAAGCTGTTAAATGCAATTTCATTTTCAGACCCTTCCCTCTCTTCTGCCACCACAACTTGCTCAAGTGAATTGCAGTTCGTTATATTCATTGTTGTTAATTTGACTAGACTTCTTGCAGTTGATGAGGTAATTAAGTGAACCAATCCATTGCAATTTTCCACTGCCAAATATGTCAAGTGACTAAAAGTAATAGAGGAAGGCACTAAGTGTTTCAATTTGGAACATCGATCCACATCTAAGTATTCAAGCTCTTCAAGAACTGGGTCTATTTGAAATCCTTCTTTGCATATATACTCCAGGTCATCCAATCGATTGAGTGTCAATGATTTCATTCGTGTTCCGATCTTAATATTTCCTTTGTCCTGTATAGGTATTTCTTCTCGGAATATCTCCTTAAAAGAACTCTTTTCAACAAGTAGCTCATTGAGAGTGGTTACATTTTGGAGAAACCAATAGGGAAAAGTAGCGTGATCATCTTCAAAATTTGCCAAATAAAGAATTTTGAGCTTCCTGAAGTGTTTTCTTGCAAGTTGTCCTTGTAATATTATGCTTGCATCCTCACTATTTAGGGTCAACTCCTCCAAGTTGCAAATCACCTATATGGAACACAGGTGAAAAGCATATGTCAAATATTTTGTATATAGCACCATAAATAGGTATAAGAGTGAGGTAGGAAACAAGTGATGAATAGGCTGCATAATCAAACCTGTTTAATTTTGTTTTTTAATACAGAAAAATATTATGAAAAGAATGCATGCATTGAGATATTTATGATGTCTAAATAAATTAAGTTTTTTTCTTCTATACCTCTTCAAGTGTAAAAAGAGGCTGCTGCATTGAGATTTGCTGTTTACCATCGAAAACTCTATCTTGGGTTCTTGTACCTTGTGTCTTGAAGAGCTTCAATTTGAAACACATGCGGACATCTAATGCCCCTAATAATGGACATAGTAAACTGTGTTTTCCAGCATAAAGTCCCTCAAGTTCCAATAAACGCCAAAACACCAAAGAGGTCAAGTGATTAAACTCAAATTTGACTGGACTGTCCATGGGGATCACTTCGTTGCCTGAAACAATATGTTTCATCCTCCCTGAATATTTTATGATAATATGTTCTAGTTGAGTAGCTTGCATTGCGATGGAGAATGGAAAAAGGTATTCCAAGTTCTCACAGTATTCAACCCACACAAGTTGCAAATTATGAAAACGAAGGTTTGCTTGAGCATCTCTACTCCAAATGTGTTTCAGCTTTGGCAAGCCAAATAGATGGAGTTTCTTCAATTGTGAGACTTGTTGTGTAGCTCTTTCGTCTTCATTATGGATTCCTTTGGCGGTTGATTCGAATATCTCTTCCACTGAACCGCAACTGCTGACAGTCAAAGTCTCAAGGCTTCCAAGCGTTCCCAGCATATCAGATGGGAAAATATCCACAAGTTTCCCACAATTGCTTACCTCCAGACTCTTTAAACTAGCAAATTGAAGGCGCCATACTTTCTTCAAGCTTTCCATGTCTTTAACTACCATGGTCTCCAACTTTGTGAACCGGACCTATGATACAAAGCACAGTTTTCAAATCCGAAGGAACCAACATTTAATATGAATGATATTGAATAGAACTACACAAGCGCAAATGTTTGATGTTATGGTGTTAACATTTATTTCAGATCTAATCGTAATACCTCTTGTGTTGCAAGGCAATCTGGAGCAATGATTTCCTCCATCATCTCACATTTGCTTATTTCAAGGTGTTTGAGTTTTGAAAGACTTCTAACCGAAAAAGATGAGAATAAATGCTTGAGTCCTCTACAATCCTCAACAATCAAGTGAGTCAAATTCTGAATACAATTGGCTTGATCATCCCAAATTTTTTCCAGATTGATTGAACTCAACTTCAGGGCCTCCAAGCTAGGAAAACTAACCTGTGATTGAAAAAATTTGTTACTTTCAACTTGGTAAATGAAAAAAAAGAAAAGGGAAAGATGACAATTTGATCCACTCTGAGAGAGCCATTGATAATTTGGTCTCATGAATTTAATAAATTATATATAAGTCTCAAAACATTTGGGTGCAATTTTTATAACTTCTAGACCTTTGGCCATTGAAAGATGACAAATAATTAATATTTCAATACTATTTCATTATAATACCATTATTTTAATAATATTTCCCGATAACAATTTACAAGTCTACTCTGCTAATTGCAAATAAAACTTTGCATCAATTCACCACGCAATTAATTTTTATTTTCATATTCAAATTTTACGAATCCGTTTAAAGCTTTTTCTCACCTATTCTACAAATTATTTCTTCGCATTTTATTATTCTTTTCTTTTTTTAACTCTTTTCTATTTTCACCTCATAAATTGGTTGTAAGATTTTTAAAGTTTTGATCATATACAAATTTTTTTTGCTAAAATTTACAAGTTAAACTTTAAAATTTGTATTTTTATAGGTCTTTCAAATGTTGCAAATTTATTTTTTTTCCGAGTTAAAAAATTTTTCACCCCGTAAAAATTAATTTTAACAAGTGGTATATTACAATGGATTTGTAAATATTTATTATGTAAACATCTTCTAAAAAGTAAATGCGTTTGTGCAAAACTATCATTTAAACAAGTAGGAAAATGGAGTATTAATATATTACTATGATACTAATTATAGTATTATAAATCTAAATTACATAACCTAACATAATAAGAAGTTTTCTTTAAAAATAAAAATAAAATCGGATTTCTATATATAAAAAACGTATAGGTTTGGATCACCTCGGAGAAAAGTTAGTTGTTGAGTTTTGTAAATACAAAAATTTCAATTGCAGTTCAAAGGAGAACTGATCAGTTGTAGTATGAAAAGAATTGGGAAGCAATTTATGAGTTAAAAATAACAACCAAGGAATTGTAAAATTTACGGATATAACTTGCAAAAGGGAAAGAGGACAAATTTTAAATGGATTTATAAAATTTGAAGAAAATGTGAGAAAAGACATAAGTTGTAAATAATGTATGATTTGTAAATAGTACATATGGGCTTGTAACTTGTTACAAGAAAATATTATTAAAATAATCATACTTACTTCATAAAAAAGATAATCATATTTAAATTAATTATTAATAAAATATTAATGATAATTTTTTAATGCCTTGCTGGTTCTAGTACTTACCAGCTCGTCACCCATCAATGGTGGTCAAAGGTCGAAGGCTTAGAATAGCATTTTAGATATTTTGCACGTGTTAAACATTGATACTAGAGATTCTTAGGACTTGTCTATAATTTATCTAACAAATCTGTTGGGACAAAATTATGATTTTCTCTAAAAATATAATTTATCCGGAGGGAGTACCTCATTACATTAAGAATTTGACATTCTACTTCTAGATTTATACATATATATATTTAAAAATACCATAGATGATGATTGTGATAGCTATTTATGATTCAGTCATTTGATCTAAATCGTAAATAACAAAATTATAAAACGAATGAAAAAGAAACATACCTTAGTGCCATTAAATAATGATGTGGCTGTCATAAAAGATGTCATTTCATTTGAGCAAAAATCATGGATGACTGGCAAATGACAAAGACTCAAGGAGCGTAGTGAATGAAACTCAATCTTCTCATCACTACTTATTCCACTATTTTCAGTTTCAATTAACACAATCCTCTTCATTGAATTGCATTCTAAAACTTGGAGCTCAACAAGTTGAGAAAGAGCTTTCTCCATTAAGATAGAAAAGAGATATACCAGTTGATCACAACTTTTGACTTTGATGATTGTGAGTTTGCCAAAGGAATTAATGGGAAGTGGGCCATGACATATCTTCACTAACTTATTGAGATTGTGAAGTATTAGTGTCTCCAATTTTGGAAACAAAACATGAGTTTCATTCCACTCCACTGTGTTGATGATATGCTGAACCTGGCCATTATTTTGGATATGGAGATATTTTAGTAGAGGAAATCCTTCTCCATTCAAATCAAAAAGCACATCGAAAATTCCATTGACTTCATCTAAGTACAAATCTTCCACTTCTTTAATCAATGCTTTAATCCCATGTTCTGAATGAATGCTAGTATCAAGCTTTAGCTTTAGCAACCTTGAGGTGCTTTTGCTCCTTGACCATTCCCATTTATCTCCGATGACAATCTTATATCTCTCAAACTTTTCAAACATCATATCCCTTGACAGCATCCAAGCCTCAGGAATTTGAATTTCTAAAGTAGTCAGGCTTGTCAAACACCCAAGCTCAGCAAGACTAGCACTTTCGTTTTGCTTAGCTGGACTTTCCTCCTCCCACTTAATTGAGGCATTGCCCATATAAAGTTCCTCTATGTTAGTCAACTTGGACAAAGTGTTGGGTGGGATGATCTTAATTCTAGACTTTGTCATATCCAACATTTTTATACGAGTCAGTTGTCCTATTTCACTCGGGAACTCCACTATGTATGAACCCCAAAAACTAAGAATTTCTAAATTTGTCAAGTCACCTATTCCGGCCATATTTTTCAAAGCACATTGATCCAAACACAATGTTTTAAGCTTGGTCAAGAAAAGAAGAGATATAGGCAGTGCAGGTATTATCAAGCCTGTCAAATCTAATGCTTCAAGATTCTCCATTCCCTCAAAAAAGTTGTCTGGAATTTTCAAAGTGCAATTATCAGTGCCACATAAGTAGAGAAATTTTAAATTGGGGCAGTCTAACTTTTGAGGAAGTTCTTGGATAAAACATAGTGTCAAGATTATCTGGGTACATCTTTCGAGAAAACCCTTGCTCGACCAATCTCGCACCTTGTCACCATTTCTTTTCAGCACGAAGACATATTCATTCTTATAAGCAATTGAAATAGCTACTTCACGAACAAGGTCATGCATTTTAATTGCTTCAGTCTCACTTGTATCATCATCAAGTAACAAACAGAATGCCTTCAAGGCATGAATTATTCTATATAATCGGTTTCTTGCATCTTCAACAGTATATGTGTGTTTCAGAACACCCAAACCAATTACATATTTCAACAAGTCACTAACCAACAGGGATGGTCCATGTACACCACAAAGCAAGAATACTTTCTTCATTTCATCATCTTCCAATCGATTGTAAGTAAATTCAAAAGCTGAAAAAACAGTCTCACGCATGTCCCCCTTATCAACTTGCTTTAAGTTGCTCAAGGCATCTTTCCAATAGTGAGTATTCTTATTATATTTTAATGACTTTGCAATTGAGACTATCATAACAGGCAAACCTGCACATCTTTCAACCACTTGAGTTGCTATCTTTTTCAAGTCACCATCTTCAACAGCATCACCAACCATATCTTCAAACAACCTCCATGATTCTGTATCATTTATTGTTCCAAGAGCAAAATCCTTTTGAGTCTCATTCTTATGTAAAATATCTAAACTTCTAGAAGTCAACAATAATTTGCAACCTTGACAAGTCTCATTCTTCTGTGAAATATCTAAACGTTGAGAAGGCAATGATGATTTGCCACCCTTAACATCCAGCTCAGAGGGAATTCCTAACTTGTCCAAATCAATTTCCTCCCATAAATCATCTAGTATAATAAGGACATTTTTTTCCATTTTTATCCTTCTACACAGGCGGTCGGCTCTTCCAATTGTGGTATTCTCATCCAAGTGGAAGCCAAATTGATATGCTATCTCGTCTTGAACCTTTTCAACATCCAATATTTCAGATATAGTTGCCATCGCCACCACATCAAATCGCTTTTCATCCTTAACATGTTTGGCAATATCTTTGACTAGAGTGGTCTTTCCAACCCCAGGCCAACCATAAATTCCAACTTTGCTTACTTTAGGGTCTATTAGAGACAACATAACCTCCTTCTTCAATGAATTTCTTGACTCAAGCTTTTCACTGCCTCGAGTAGCCAAAATTAAGCTTGCCATGCTAGATGCACGAACATACCCAACTCGACCCTCAAAATTCCCCTTTTCCTTTAGTTCAGCAACGTTGAATGCCATTTTCTTTGATTTTCTACCAAGTTGATGTCTTGATTTCAAGTTAGGAAAAGACCATTTCCAACACCGTACATTAGCTTGAGTCTGATCTTCATAAAGTTTTTCTACTTCTCCCATGGTCTCATCAACTCTTTCTTGCCATCTTTTTACATCAGCTTCAATCTCTCTGCCACTGCTTCTTTCTGCTTCAACAAGATGCTCGTTGCGAATTCTCTCTGTCTTCAACTCCTCAATTTTATCCTTTAGCTCCTTAAAATTTTCTTTGTAAAATAATAAATATCCCACTTGCCTTCCAATAGGTATCACAGTTAGCTCAGATATTTTACCAGCAATAGTAGTAAGAATTTCCATTGTTACTTCCTGAATAAAAAGACAAGAAATTTGTTTGTTGGATGAACAGAAGTCACAACAGATCAAAAGATAATGCCCGGCCCCTAGGGAAAAAAAAAGGACATATACACAATTGCTTGGCTTTAACTAATAGGAGATTGAGAGGCAGTATGACTATAAGTAGAAAATACGAAATCTCCCAAATTAGAATCCAAGCCGTCAATTCAAGTTTTGAAGGGTTCAATGAATTTGTCTATTATCCATGTGAGTATTTGCGTCTCTGTTTTTGTCTCTTCTTCCCGAAGAAGAATATGTGGCTTCTACCGGTGACAATGGCCTAAACTCCAACGCCATTGGAGCTCCAGAAGTGCCAGTGGAATGGGGAATTTTTTTCTTAAATTGGTCAAAGTAGAATTCATTTGAGGAGAAATTCTTGTGCGTTCCAGGAGCACCACGTCATTTATGGTCTGACAAATTAAAACCTGCCATGTCTTTAAACTTAATCTGAACTTTAACCTTAGCTGTAAGCGTTTTAATCTACTCGCCCGTCCCATATTATAAACAACAACTGTTATTTTATCTTGTCCCTAAATATAAACAATTTTTAACAGTTGCCTTAAATTTTTCTAACAAATTCTCTGTTTTGCCCATGATAAATATTTGTTTTAATGTAATCTCCTTTCATTATATATTCTTTTTCTTTCATAATTCCCTCATTATACATAAGGGTATTTTGGAAAGAAAACATTTAATTTTTACACATTTATTGTTTTTAATTTTAACTATCACTTTAATTTATGTAATTTAGTTCAAGGTTGCTTATAATATGGGATGGAAGGAGTATTTGCTTAGTAATTTAATTTAACAATTTCTTTTAGAAAGTCGTCCTTATCTTCTTTTTTTTTCCTGACTTTTCTGCCCTTGTCGCCAGTCCGTCGTCGTCTTCTCCATTTGTTTTTCCAAAACTCCCTTTTTCTTCTTTGTTGTGTGTTTCTGCGCCAAGAACCACCATGTTTTTCCCCTCCTCTTCCCTCATTACCCTTACCTTCTTCATATTTATCCTCTCTCATCTCCGTCACCTTCACCCTCCAACTCCTCCCACCGTCACTTCCGCCCGCCCTACCTCATTCTTACAGTCAGTGAATCCGTCTAGTTCGCTTCTCTCTAATTGGAAGATTCCAACCTTTACATCAATAGCTCTTCCTTGTACATCCCGGCAATGTCTATCTCCTTCTTCAACTCATGCCCATCTTTTTTCCTCTTCAAGTTCTTGAATCTGGTTACTTCCTTCTCTAGATCCAAAGCATAAGGGAAAAATTGATATTCTTGAACCTAAGTCCACGATTTGAAATTTATGTTTGATTTGTTGCTTTTGTTTTGTGTTAAGCGAAGGGAGGAGGGTGCTGGACAGAGGAAAGGAACACTACTCTTCATCTCGTGGGTATGGATGGAGTCCATGGAGGAAAAAACTGGACAAACACAGAGGGTTTGCCAGGGGGAGCGAAGATGACGGAGGAAGGCAGAGAAGTCAGGAAAAAAGATCGGTACGAGTTTCTAAAAGAAATTGTTGAATTAAATTACTAAACAAATATAGATAAAGAGATGATAAGTTTTTATCTGTCAAACTACAAAGACTACAAATAAGGTGGTGCCCTGGGAGCACACAAGAATTCCTCATATCCTGAAAAACTAAATTGTTTTAAGGAGTTAATTAACCTCAAACACTAATTTTTGGAAATTAAATGTAATAAATAGCTCATAAATTATTGTTAAGAACTCTTGTTGAATGTCTAAAGTGTGATAGTTATTTTATTTATTATTCTGAGATAATTAATCTTAAAATCCTTATCATTTCAATTACTCTTTTTATATTATAAGTAACAACTATCATCTTCTTTTTGTCTCTAAATATAATCAACATTTACAAATTGTCTTAAATTTTTGTAATGAATTCTCTATTTTATCTTCATTAATTATTTATTTTAATTTTCAATATATTTAGTATCTCATTTCTCAAACCATCATCTCTCAATCACACATTCTCTCTCTTTCAAAATTCTCTTTATTATAATAATTTTCTTATTCTCTTCCTTATATTCTCTCTCTAAATAAGAGTATTTTAGTGTCTTTTTACACATTTATTATCTTTAACTAATTTTACTTAACATTTTGATCTACCTGATGAGCTTTGATGAGCTCTAATGTTGTTTATAATATGGGACGGAGGGAGTAATTTTTACCTAGGTTTTGCTCATTTTTCATCAAGACTTTATATTTTTATATGTTTTTACTTTAGTTGGCTTCTTACAAGTTTTTTTTTCCTTTTAATTGTGTTTTTATAGTTTCAAACAATTTTTACTTAGCTCATTGAAGTTCTTTTATTCTTTATTTGATAAATTCTGATAACATTCTTCTATAAATATAAAAGATAATAATATTAATTATAAAATTATTTAATTGTACTCTATATATAATAAATTATTATAATAATTTTTTTAATATTATTTTTAAATTTTATGTTAAACATAATTTATATTTTTTATTTTATAAATTATAAGTTTTATTTATTCTTGTCATTATAAAATTTAAGTGATAATTACAAAACTTATAAAAATAATTAATAAATATTTCTATTATTTATTTTTACAATTATATAATTATTAATTTAAAATTATATTTCAATCTTATTTTTAATTAATTTTAAATTAATTTAGAAAATACATAGACATAATTAAAAACATACATAAGTATAAGGAAATGACTAAAAAATATATAAAGATCTGTTCAAAAATTGATTTAAACTATATCAGTTGCATAATCATTACTCCTTCATTTTAGCTCCCCTCAAAATGGGATTTTTAAAGGAAACTAAATTTTTAGACTATTATACCTTTATGTTTTTTTAATATTCTACTGTTATCTATAAAATATATTATAATATTTATTTTAAATAAAAATATATTATCCTAAGTAAAAGATATAAATATAAATTATTATAATTAAAAAATATTATAAAAATTAATTAAAATTAAAAAAATTATAATATTATAAAATTAATTCCTTTTTATAAATATGTATTATTCTATTAAATATATTTTAAAGCTGAAAACAAAAGCATGACTTAAAGAGAATAAAATTTTATTTTTTAAGAACATATAAAATTTGTTAATTTGACTATTTTAAATATATTATTATAGTAATTAGAATGAAAAATCATTGTACCTATTTTTTAATGCACATATTAAGATGATAATACTAAATTTTTATTAAATTAGACAATTTATCATTAAGATGTAAATTAATTTATATAATATATCAAAAAAAATATAAATTAATATGTAAAGGTAACATGATAAATTGATTATTACTATTTCTCATTCCCTTCTCTTGAATCAAATAAGAGATTATTAAATATCTCTTATTGTCTTTCTTTTTAATCAATCCAAATAAAATGAGGGTAACCCTCAGCCAAACTCCATCCTTCTCTCCCTATCTCCCTCCCCTACTCTTTCCTCAAACCAAGCAGGTTCCTAAGAAGATGATATATTAACTTAGTGATTATAAAAACTTTGGGATCCAACAGGTCATGGGATCAAGTCCTACTTTGACCAATTTTAGGGTGGCTATAGAGGCTGAAAAAAACTAGTCAAGCTGGCACATTTGGGCCTAAAAACTGCAAGGATTATGATTAAAATTTTTTCCTTCAAATAGGAAATGGATTTAAAAGGGATAGGGAAGACCAACCTGTTTAGATTTTTTTATAATTTTTTATATAATGCTAATATTATTAATTTTTTAAAATTATTAATGATATTTTAAATATTTAATTATTATTATCATTTTGAAATTGAATTTCATAAAATAGTTTGATTTATTTGGTTTTAGACAATAATTTGTTTAACTAAATTTTAAAAAAAGAGTTAATTTGAACTTTAATAATGATTTGACTTATATTATATATGTTGATATTTTAAAATTATATATATTTAATAACAGAGTATTTTTATACCTATATAACTTGTTAGTCTATAATTTGAATTAAAAATTTATAAGTTTCAATAATAATATCTCAAACTAAAATAACATAATAGCTACATTACAAAAATTAAAAGTAAAATTTTTATATAAAAGAAAAAATTGATATTTTTGCCATTAAAAAAATGCATACTCATTAAAAAAGCAATTGTTGATAGTGATAACGAAGTTCAAAAAATTGATGATAATGTTTGTTACACTGTTGATGAAATTTTTTTGATATTATCTTGTTTGTAGATGCTATTATCTAGTTAATAGATGTTTTAGATAGTCATTGGATATTGATGAATGTTTAGATATAATAATACTCTTTGTTTATAACTTAATTTTATTCATATTTAAACCTTTTATTATTAATTTTATTGCTTTATTTTTATTTTATTGATAAAACATACAAAAAATAAAAAAAATAGTTTTTTTAAACAGGTTAAAAGCCTATAAATCGGCCCTAAACCTGTCAGTTTAACGGTTGAACTTAGTAAAATGAAACATTTCTAAAATTTTGACACTGCAGGATTGGCCCATTTAAACCCGTAACCCTATAGAGCTAAGCCAACTCTTATTCTCTGTACTAGGCGGCGATGATGATGGCTAGCTGACCTTTTCTTTTTTAATAAGTGTAAGATCATATCGTAATAGCAGCACAAATATTCTATAAGTCCATTTAATATTTAAATAATCTGCAAAGAAGGGAACCTTTCGAATTTTCTATTGTCATGTACGAATGAGATGGCAGAAAACTAGGACGGCAACGAAGACGGAACTCGGAAGGGATACTTCCGTGTTTCCTCTATCTCTTTTTCTTCTCAAAATTGCATCTCTATTATTAAATTAAAAAAATAAATAGTTCAAATTTAAAATTTTATAAAATTATTATTATAATATTATATAAATATGAGAAAGAGAAGTGGACATCAATTTTTTAGAATATTAAATCTGATGCATTCATATTTTAATCCAATAGTAAAGTTGGAATTCTAAAAGGAAAACAAGAGGAAGGGATTCTGAGCATCCAGAACCAAGAAAGATATGGGACCAAAATTGTATTATTAGCCCTCACTTCCCACAATGAATCAAAAATTTTGAAAGAGTTTAAACGCCCCAGCACATATTATACTATTTGCTGTTTGAATAAGCCTAAATTAATCCAAAATGGTGCTAGTCCTAAGTAAGGTTTTAAAACTTGTATTGGAGAACCGATCGAAATCCTAGTTCAAAGAGATAAAATGATAAATGATTGAACTGTAGTTAAATTATTGTTAGACCGGTTATGATTAATTTATTATAATCTTAATTCTATTTCTTAATTGTGGCAAGTG